ATTATCATTATTATTCAATGTTATCATAGACAAACGCATTGAGGTCTCCTTCTCATCATCTGGCTTCAGATGAATCGATCTCATCATGGCGAGATTTCTTGTAGTCCTAGAATATGCAGATGATTTAGTCCTGTTAGGTGCAGACACCGACAAAATACAGCCTATAGGACACCTTGATTGACAGTTTGAGAATAAGGGGAAGGTATTTCTCGCCACTCACATGAAAATTATTGCTTCAGGACTGGTTTTTAGTGGAGGCCTGCCTAACAGTAGGCAGTGAAATGGTTGAGCGCATTGACCACACTATACTCACCTGGGAAGTCGGATCACCCCCGATGGATCAGTAGTCAATGAAATCTCTGCACGGATATAAAAGGCTCCAGTGGCTTTCGCCAAATTACGCCATTTATGGTACCCCCGTGATGTCTGACTGTGCCTTGAGAGTTGAGTGTACTGTGCTGCGATTCGCTCCGTTCTGCTAGATGGCTATGAAACATTGTCATTAAAGGTGGAGGATATGAGACGGCTTCACGTTCTCGACTAGCATCGCCTACGTAGAATAAGCCATGTGTCGTAGTGTTACTGCGTCAGTAATGCAAAAGCAGGGTTAGGAGTTTTAAGAAGAGGAAAGTCAGTTAGTGAGGTTATGAACCTTCATCGATCCAAGTACCTAAGATATGTGTTGTCTATGCCCGGTCACTGTCTGCATCATTGCATAATGCTAGCTGAAGTAGTTTCAGGCTGGAAAAAGGTTGGAGGTAACCAGACTAAAACATGGCATCATTGTATCAAGTCTTTGACTGTTAGTAAGAACCACGTAGGGAAAGGTAGACTAACCGGTTAATTTCCGCGCGACAGCAGAAAACTGTAGGTGACATGGCTTAGGATCGATCTCATTATAATCGTCATACTGAATGCGGTATTTTCTTATTTCTCTCTTTTACTACTTCCTTCTGCTTTTGACCTATTCCTTTTAGCCCTTTGTGCTTCATGTTATTGCATTCTGTCTTTATGTGCTGTAGCAGCTTGGAACGTTAGGTAGTAATGCTAGGTCCTAAACTGGTATTATCCGTCTGTCTGTCACAAAGGCGATGGCAGTGACTGAAACTGATGTCACCCTGGTTTTCAATTGGAAATCTCATCCATCGGACATCTACAAACCTTTAAAACAAACTACATACAACTTTTCGACTGCTTCGCATGGTCAGTCATCAAATCCAAACTCTCACCAATCTTGCGGAATTACTTAGTATTTCCATGGCATAAAACATGTGTCATTCTTCTGGATGTCAACCAACAACTGAATGAGTAAGCTGTATGTCATCACACACAAAACGACATAGTTCACATAATCAAGAGCAATAAGTTTTTCTCCTGATATTTTCAATGCAACACCTTGCAGCACCCCATCTATAATTAGTCCAAGAGTAGAAGAGGTGAAAAAATCAAGAATGATAACAACCCTACCAACTCTTAATGCTAGTTGGGTAAGACTGAAAAATTTGGTTGCATGTCATCATTCTGTCTGAAGTGTTTTTATAAACCCTGAAAGACGTCAATAAACCACTCAAGGACATTTCCAGTAAAAAGCGGACCCAGAAACTACTACGGTTCAAAGAACTAAAGGTAGTGCAGAGCAAAGATATATAAAACAAGAGCAAGTTCTCACCCAGTGAACCAGATTTTCACACAAATTGCGAAGTATGATAGTCGTCTATATTTTCGACGTAACTTGTATCAGATAAATACTCCAATGATTTTCACATTTATGATATGCAGACCCTCTATGATGACAGCTACAATGAATGATTGCTTGAAGGTTAACAGAACCTTTCCAGTTTTCTATGCCTTCACAAATAATCTAATTAATTTCCTGGCTACAGCACAGCATGTCTTTGATATTCATACCGCCTTCCTGGTTATACAACATGAAGTACTCAGCATTAAAGTGTTTCTTTCACTTTATGGCTTTTCCTTTGATAATTAGTTCTAGCTTGATCGTAGTTTGTTATTCTCTGAAGTTTATTCCTGGATATTTCATCACCAGGATAAGAGAATTCATTAGCATTTACTGCTTTATGAAACAGTAAAGAACTATTATCATCATCTTTTCTGATGTCTCATAGTTCTACTTTATTCCTATTGTTAGAGAAATATGCAGGATAGAATGAATTGAAAACGTATTACTCCATGCAGCAAACTAAACAAAATGAGCTACACAGGTGGCTTCAGAAATGACGTATTACAGTTTTATCACGTTCTCAAGTTTACAATTAATCTTCTTACACTTCTTCACAAACTGATTTCCTTAACTTTATTTCTAGTAACTCATCACGTTTGTAGCGTGAATGTATACGAATCTCAACAGAACTGAAGCTTTCAATATGAAACAAACTGCTTTCGATGCATACCAAAATAGCACAACATCAACAAACTGTGAAAATTTCAACCATCACAAAGTGATATAACGGCAAGAAGCAGTAAGGATAAGTAATTAAGGAACACTCTTCCATATTAGATATGTGCATACCATTTATAACACACAGAATGATACAGTATTATTTGTTTGACGATGTTTCGAGCATAAATTATCGCTCATAATCACATCAATGTAATCACACTCCTTTCGACATTTGACTTTTATAGTCCTGTCACCTCATATGAGTTGTTTTTATTGGTAGTAAAATTTTCGATATCTGTGTTATAGGTGTTGCGTCATTTCTATTACATGTGTTGCGTGTTGATTCGATAAACAAAGATTCAGTAATCAATCTCTCTCACTCCACCTAATTATATTGAACTTCAGTACAATGGTTTTGTCCCACTCTATTGTGCGGTTGTGTGTTAATGCATGCATTGCAATATCTGAGTTTGTTTTCCAGACTACTGATCTTGTTGGGGTCTATCATTCTATATTCAGCTAAATTCCTTTGTTCGACTATTCTAACTGACCCCGATCGGCTAGTGTGACCTCGCAGTCATTGCATGGAATTTGATATACTAGGTTATTTTGCTGAAATGGTCTTATCGATTCCCCAAGCTGACAAAGTTTATCTCTGAGTCATTTTGTAGGTTTAACTGCCACCTCAATACCAGCTTTGTTGAGGATCCTACATAAAGTGTCTGGTGTACCTTCCTTATACGGTAACACAATGGAAGCTGGGAACTCCTTTATACTTGTGTTGTCGCTATTATTTGTACTCGTGTTGCTGTCACGATTCCTTTCTTTTGTTTTCCTACGCACTTCTTGATAAACTGTGTAGGATAATTATTAGGTATCAGTGCTTCTTCTATGTGCTTCAGTTCCTTGTTTAGGTCCTTGTACCGACGAATCAGTTTTCTAGCTCAATCATTCAGACATTTGACTAAAACCTGAAGTCTAGACACCTGTTAGGAACTGAAGCACATAAATGAAGCACTGATACCCATAAGGAAGGTACACCAGACACTTTATGTAGGATCCTCAACAAAGCTGGTATTGAGGTGGCAGTTAAACCTACAAAATGACTCAGAGATAAACTTTGTCAGCTTGGGGAATCGATAAGACCATTTCAGCAAAATAACCTAGTATATCAAATTCCATGCAATGACTGCGAGGTCACACTAGCCGATCGGGGTCAGTTAGAATAGTCGAACAAAGGAATTTAGCTGAATATAGAATGATAGACCCCAACAAGATCAGTAGTCTGGAAAACAAACTCAGATATTGCAATGCATGCATTAACACACAACCGCACAATAGAGTGGGACAAAACCATTGTACTGAAGTTCAATATAATTAGGTGGAGTGAGAGAGATTGATTACTGAATCTTTGTTTATCGAATCAACACGCAACACATGTAATAGAAATGACGCAACACCTATAACACAGATATCGAAAATTTTACTACCAATAAAAACAACTCATATGAGGTGACAGGACTATAAAAGTCAAATGTCGAAAGGAGTGTGATTACATTGATGTGATTATGAGCGATAATTTATGCTTGAAAAATCATCAAATAAATAATACTGTATCATTCTGTGTGTTATAAATGGTATGGACAAATCTAATACGGAACTATATTCTACCGAAGTGGTGAATGTTTACACATATTAATCAGAAACACTCTACCTAGGCGTACAGAAACATGGTGTTGATTGACCTCTGATTTAGATACACAGTGACATGATCCTGTCAGCGTGATTATCTTACCCAAACATAATTCTTTAGTCCTTAAGATCAACATATGTCATCATGAGTAAACAAGAAAAACATTTGATGACACAAATATTAAGTAATAAGATCGAGACATAATATCAAAGGAAGTCTTATTAAAAAGCAACAATCTGAACAAAGAACATTCTTTACAATAAATTCTCTTCAGTTTCTACAATTATAATAATAATAGTAATGTTATAACTTTTACTAGTGTACACAGTTCATCCACTCAACAACAATTATCAAATATATCAACATATGAACTGAGATACATGTTACCCAGTAAAATGCCCAGTATCAAATGAGAAGAAATGCTCAAATAACTCCTATCAAGAAAATATTTTGACCTGTAATATAAACTCTAAGAAGAAACAGTTTACATATCTGATTCAACTTGATAACTTTGTCGATAATTCGCACAAATCTCTTAATCATAAAATTAAACTATCAAGAAATCTTTGAAACCTGACTTCTTTTTACTATGATGAAAGAAAATAATTGCAATTATTGAAATGAACAGCCATTAATATAAAAATGTAGTCTGAGTATTAAAAAAAGTACAAATATTATAAAATATGATATGTATTTCATTTCCATTTTATTTAAACAAAAAGGTTCCGATTAAAATTGATTGTTTCGGTAATCCTACTCCACTAAACAAGTAAATATACTGACAACAACAAAGGTAAACACTAATATATTTTAAAATAATTTACAAAGTTATTGTATTTATTACAGTAGTAGCCACTGTTACAGCTGCTTATTGATTTTAAGAGGCAAAGATTCAAACCCCTTCGACTATAATAATCGAACAGCTACTTGATTCGGTGATGTACAACGTATACGTGTTGAATTATTCTGAGAGTTTTTAAATCTATCCTGAAGTAAAGTGACACCTTCATTAAGCAACTGATGATCAACTAGAATAGAATTCAATGGAGTTGTAAGACAACTTTCGTAAGTTTCTTGTGGGTGTGTCAAGGTACTGCGATTCGGAGAAACCACAGGAAGCTCTGAATGTTGAGCTGGTAGCGGCTCTGTTGTAAAATATGGATGTTTTAATGCCTGAAATACAAAAAGAATGAAATTCTATGCATATATACTGATTATATTCTATTGTTTTAAACAAATTCAATCCACAAGTTTGCCAAGTTGAAAGATTATATTACTCAAAGGTATATAGAATGAAGATATTCCAGTCTGATTGCTTGCATTTTCGAAAAGAAACCACCTAAATAAGACAATAAGTAGATCGGCTGATTTCCAATAATGTACAACCCAATAGTTCAAGAAATTGATTCTAGATTATGGCACAGAATAATTTCATAACAACAAAATATGAATTAACTATAAAATTAACATCCAAATAACTAAGTTAATAAGACCACATCTTAAAGCTCTTTTAGAGTATGCTGAAAAGTCCATCCAGATGACTGCTACCAGAATTATATCTGAACATTATTATCTAGTGCTAAAAATCCTGCTGATTTTTACTACACTATCAATCAGAGTCAGTAAGTCTATATCAACAAATTTAGCTGACACAAAATGACTAACGCCATACTTTTTTTTCCTGATCACTTACGAACTTTTTCTATCATACTACGACTCCAAACAATATTACTGTTCAACGCGCACTGTAGCTGATTTGTTATAACCAGGTAATATTCATAAGTGAATTTACCCTAGACAGTATAAATCTTCACAGTCAGTGATTCCTATGAGCCCAATGCATACATTGACAGCATGAATAATAAAACGCTTGAGTGTTTCTCTTGTCACAGCCACAGATTTCACATCTGAGCTGAAACTAGTCCCTTTGAAGATAAATAAGTGTTTATGAGTACACAACTCACCTTAACCATAATTGATCAAAAACGTATTATATGGTTTAATCAAGACTTCATCAGATACAAGTTCACAGGAAGTAACTTAGCTATCCACGTACATAGCTTACCTCATGCATTCATATTAGATGCGAACACAGGTTATGTTTCTGCATTAAGCGAGTCCAAAACACACGTGGACCCTTGCAAAGTTTACATAAACAACTTTTAGCATACTCTATATTATTACGTTTTTACCATGTACTAGCATATTCATTGCATACTCCAGCGACTTGGTAAGCTTTGCGTAAACTGACGACCACTGGTAGATGTTCAACATGTGTCTGCACTTATTGTTGATGTAGTAGCGAAGTTTTAGACAAAATTAGAGAAATATTTAGTCAGCATACGACAAAATCAGTGACAAATAAAGTACATTTAAATAGAAATAATATGTTAAATGTGATAAGCAACAGAACAGTAACAGTAGAAAGCGGGGAAAAGACTTCGTAATAATGACGAATCAAGCTAGGGAACTGAAAGTCAATCTATGAGTAACAAACAGACAAAAACACCACGTGCAGTCACAAATGTGTAACCCTTACTCATAAGATAAAATGACCTAAAGTCAAACTTACTTCAGTTGCTGTTAGCCTATGATGTGGTGGATACACCAAAAATTTGCCAACAAGATCGATAGCTTCGATTGATGCATCTGGAAGAACTTCTTCGAATGGTATAGTTTCACAAACATTGAAACTTATCTTGTTATAATCAGGGAGTTCTTTAATCTCCTAAAAGATATTGAATGAGTCCAGATGAAAATAACAGGTGAACTAAATACACTGAGATACAACAAACAACTTAGAAACTACTCAAGACAAAAATAACCTTTCAATCAATTAGTATTAAGAGTAGGAGTCAAAATTTTAAAATGTAGGCAGATATTTTCCATACTAGACAGCTATAAAGTTTCCAGAAGGAGGTAGGAATATTTGAAACGAACAACTCATCAATGTAATCCGTTCGAAACATTTAAAAAGCTTTTCCCCTACCATAGCTCTTTAAAAGACTACAGAGAGCTTACTACGATAAGAATAAAATCCTTCTGGAAGTTCAACGCCTGTAATAATTAACTGTAAGATGAAATATTTAGATGATTAGAGAAACATAACACTTAACATATTACTTAAATGACCTATCCTTAATAATAGCAGGACATTTTAGGCGTTTCAGAGAAGCATAAAAGCCTTCATACTCAAAGAAGAACCATCCACTAAACCAACCTTTGTAGTATATGATGATCTTTTATTGAACCATGTAGTCTAAATAATTAACATGGATAAGAAAAGGACTTGCCGTTGAACGTGTCAATCTTCACAAAATTAAGAGATTGATGAAACTTACTGGCCACATTTCTTCATTCGGAGTTCCAAGCACACGTACAACAAACCACAGTTGTTCAATATCATTTTCTGCCTAAACAAGACTTATGAAAAACAAAATAATAATATACCGGAAACAATGGAGAACTATTCAACAGTTCACCGAAGATACATCCAACAGCCCTAGAATATGAATAAATTGAAATGGTAATACCATAAATCAACGCTGTTTGTATATTTTTTTGCTCCATATAAGAGTTCAGGTGCCCGATACCATCTAAAATTAGGAATAACATATCACTTAAAAAGTACCTCGTAGCCACCTGATGACTATATAATCTCTCGTTATTATTTTCAAAAACTCTTGCAAGACCGAAATCGGCAATTTTTAGGATACCTGTAGAACTGATCAATAGATTGGCAGGTTTCAGATCCTCAAAAGAAGTATCTTTTTAGAAATACGCGAAGAACATGTAATTACCCTATGCATTATGCCATTAGCATGCATAACTTCAACTCCCCTTAATATCATTAACATATAGCATTTAGATTGAGCTTCAGTAAGAGGAGGTTGTGAATTACGAATAACCTCACTCAGGTCCGTAACCATATACTCAAAAACAAGAACGAAACCAGTACCATGCGGAAAAACATCTCGTAGATGAACAACATAAGGGCTAAATTCAATGAACTGAAGGGTTTTTATCTCTCTGTGGCAATAAATATGATTTATTTAGATTACCGGAGGGCTGTGTTTGGAATCCCATCGGCCAGTTTCCGTAAAGGGACCTTCTTTAAAGCAACAAGTTCTCCACTCTATGCAACACAAAAATCAAACACGTAAACGTTTACCTCATTATGTTTGGCCTTTAAAACTATTCCATGGGCACCTTCACCGATGCGTCCAAGAATACTGTAATGTTCCATATTACATACAGTATACTAGTACAATCGAGATCCATTAGCAAACGGACTGGAGATAGAAAACCAACCTGTTAGAAGAAATTTTAAAAATAAAACCATTAAGCTTAGTACTAATAAGACTGAACTTCGAGACGTCAACAATTTATTTCAGGAAAATAATCAAGCTTCTATGGTCATTTACAGCTTTATTTCTTTGGCATGTCATATTAATTTACTTTACATACAATCTCACTAATGTTTGATTTTTAGCACAAGTGAAAATAATTTCCGTTATCCCAGTAACTGTACCCAGATCAAAAACTATTACTTATCTATTCCCAATAGTTTCTCCAACAGTGTAAATCCTTTAATAACAAATCATATAATTACATTTGTTTAGTAACTATCTTAAAAACTAACTACAAAAGTAATTTTACATCATGATCATTTGACGTTATCGAATTCTTGAAAATATGTACAATATTAAGCATTGGAAGTAGTCTAGAAAATCACAATACGCAATGCGATACAGATATTTCGCTGAAATCTTTATTCAAGAACCTCTAATAAACATGACTTCAACAGTAGAAACATTGACATCAAACAGAATAAACTCTGTGGACATAGACTACAATGACAGGTTTCGGGCATTAAGGAAACGAATGAGAAAAATCAACGTGACCAGATAAGCTGCACCCAAGGATGCTTATAGCTTGCAACCCACATAGCTGGCTAATTGGTTGCTATATTTAGACTATCCCTCAGTGAAGGTACACTCTCATATGACTAGAAGGACGCCATAGTCATGCTTATCCACAAGACAAGTTCTAGGCAGCACCAATCAAATTACAGATCGACAAGTTAAACTATTATTGCAGTAAAAACTCAAGAAACAGTCATCAAGAAAGCTTTTACAATTTAATTAGAAAGCAACACTTTATTGTTCCGTCCGCAACTTAGCTTTAGCAAACGTTTCTCTTGCTTCACAAACATTCCAAGTCAGAGAAAGTTGGGTTAAGTCTAAGGATGACAGGATACCTGTAGATGTCATTTGAGTACACTTCATGAAGACATTCAATAAGGTATCTCATTCTAGGCTGCTCACAAAACTGGAAAGACTCGAAATTATGAGCGATCTATTTGCGTGTATTAGAGAGTTTCTTCTTGATAGGACACAACTAGTAAGAATCATTTCTAAACTCTTCTGGAAATCAGTAAGGAGTGGGGTGTCATAAGGCACAGTCTTGGGTCCCCTACTATCTCTCCTATATATAAATGAGCAGTTTCTCTGGCGAGAAATTAGGGATGAAGATATATATACAATTTAAATAGACCTAAACAGTTTGCTAACCTAGCTAGAGAAATGGCTGATACCTATCAACGCATGTGTGAGCATGCACATGGGGTAGGTAGACAGAAAAACCTACGAAGTTGGCGGGATTCCTCTACCTTCGTTGTCGATCCAAAATGATCTAGGAGTCACAGTAAGTCACGATTTGAAGACCAAAGCGCACCACTGATTGGTTGCAACACGAAGTTCTAAGACACTGGTCATTTATGTAGAAGTTTTACTACATAAGTGTTGATATGTTCACCACCTTATAGACACCTTAGTTACACCTAAAGTAAAAAGCTGTGCACAAGCGGCAAATCCTTATCTGAAGCGCGACTTAGACCTTATGCAAGGAGTCCTCAAGATGGCTAGCCTGACCTACGAAGAAAGACTTCAGGAACTTAACCTTTCCTCCTCACCGTATCGTGGAGAGAGGGGAGATCTAATGTTGCTATACAGGATTTTAGGAAATGATTACGGACCTGATCTATTTTTTTTCTTCTCAACAGGTTGAGACACCTCAAAGGATATACCAGGGGAGCACAAAAGCGAAGGATTAACCCTATCTCCGCACAGTACTGGCTCTCGCGTCAAGTAATCAGCCATCAGAACAGACTCCCAAAAGAATTGTTGTCCAAATCAAATAACTTGTTCGGGAAAGGACTAGACAAGCACAGAAATCTTCTGGAAGAGGATTAATATGAACTCATAGCCTTCTATCTTCAAACTGCAAAACTAAAATGATAACTTTCGGACTAACACCACATGTGGTAAAAAGCTAACCTTTACAACCCTTTTACTTCCACCTGTGAACATATGGAACATATTATATTCTCGCAGAGACTGCTAGATCCCTGAAATTTTTTTCTCGCACGCTGAACTACGCTACTTTTCGTCAAATGAATTCCATGTGAGAATCAGATGTTTCATAGCATGGTCAACGATTGAAACTTGCAAGACTGTTCAGACAAGTTCATGGAAATATAGAATTTCACTTTCCTCCAGTGACTCACTCAGCAATATTGGACCACATGTCAAACGTTTAGACAAACAGAGAATTCACTCATACAGGCGTTTAACTTTGGTACTATGGTAGATCGTGATTACATTTTAGCTTGTTTGTTAGATGTGTTCCGCGTAAAAGCTAGAAGGCTTGCATTATCATCATCTGGTGCATTACAAGGAGTATTTTTGGGTCCCTTTCTGCTCCTAATTTATATGAGTGACCTCCTATCAAGTCAGCTCCCTGATTCTATTTTATGCTGACGACGTTAAGCTACGGAGGGCTGTAACAGAGAGTTGATCATACTACAAGGTAACCTCAGAATGCTTGAAGTGTGAGAGAGAAAAAATGGACTAGCACTAAACCTGGATAAATACAGGACCATGTCGCTCCATATTCCCGCAGTGCAGACAGTGTCTTACTCTACCTGTGGCACATACCTTTTGCCCACAACCAAGGATAAAGACCTAGGATTGATACTAAGTGATAACCTAGACACCTGCTCCAATTACCTAGGAGATGCCGCTATAACCTACGCAGAACTACACTTCGTATGCAGACAACTAGGTGCCCTCACCCCGGAAGTCTTTATGAAGCTCTCCAAGACCTATGCACGACCTCACTTAGAGGTCCCCAACATCAGTGCACCACCATACCTAAAAAGTGATGCGAACCTCCTGGAGAAAGTGAAGAGGTGACCAATGAAGGGTGCTGTATGGATGCGATAAAAAACATATTAAGGAAGACTGAAGGTCCTAGGCTTTTACTCTCTTATTTACTGTAGGTTACATGGTAACTTGACAAAGACCTACAAGATACTGAGCAATCTAAGCCGTCCAAACAGTGAAATTTTAATCAAACGGTCATAATAACAATTACTGTGGGAACCCGAAGAGAATTGATCATCAAACGGCGGAAACCCATGTGTTCACACTTTTGCTCTCTTCAAGTATGCGGCTACTGAGACGTATTACCTATTAAGGTAGCCACCCAGTTGTCGAAAGCTTCAAAAAACGTTTGTACAGCTATTCAGTGAAACACAGCTTGGGTTCATCCACTTGAAATACAGACCATGCTGAAACAACCGACTGACTTTGCATGAATCCATCACAGTTGTCTCAATACAGACTCCCTTCCACTGCAACTATTATCATGAACTTGGCTCAACTTTATGCCTCCCTTTTAGACCTCTTACCTCTCCAACTACTATTAATTTCACTAGTAGTTTCTATTTCGATTTCTATAATTTCTATTATGATCTTTCCTGCTTCTTTCCCTTCCTCTGACTCTCTATGATTTCACCGTGTTGCTTAAGGCAATCCACACCACTGTTTTCTTTCCCATCTTCCCTAAATTTATCTGGACGTTTCCTTGCTTTCGTTTATCTCACTTCATCGCCCCTGTACTTTTTAGGTATCTTTTACCTATCTCTTCATCCTTCTTTCACAACTAGTCCGAACAACTGTCTGGCAATACAACATTTGAGGAACCGATCTGCACCATAGTGGAAGGACAGATTTAACCAATACCTAACTACCTGTCGGATGTACCATAGCTGCAGCAGGCAAGTGGAGGGATCTACTACATCGGAATCCACCAATGATCTGAATCCACCCCGTAAAAACTAGGAAAAAGCACGAACAAGTCAGTTTTTACGAGCTCGTAAAACAGATAGTGGGTAGTGTTACAAACTACTGCCCACGTTCATACGAGTATTGACAGCAAATTTTATCAAACAAGTAATAATGTTTAATTGTAACACATCTAATAAACACAGTAAGATAGAATAGAGGATCCAGTTGGATTAAAGCATACGGTTGTCAAAAATGAGGGAAACTATTTACCAATTCTGCCAGATTTTCCCATGTACCTGTATTTCCAAAAATGAATGAAATCGTAGACAAGAAGCTCACGTTAGATTATTTTTAGGTTTAACAACCTGATACTTCGTTACAACCTTTCTCCCGAGTAGGCTCCCAGTCCGCCCTAGTCCGTAGAAACTTTGAGCTTTTCGGGTAATATTCTGCAAAAACATTTTGAGTACACTTAGGGTCATGCATCTTTATTCCCGAAAAACCCGGAAGTTTTCCGAGGAAATCCCAAAGTTTTAAGTCTACCCAGACTTTTTAAAAATCCCAATATTGAAAGTGTCTGCAGAACGTCTAAACTTTCCGAAAGAATGTAAACAAGCTCCGAAACAACAACGTACGTAGAATTGATTTCAACCCACGGACGCAAAATCGCAGACAGTGATTTGTGACAGTATAACGACATTTTGCAGACGAGATGAAAACAAATTTGGGAATATTTCTAAACGTCAGAAAGTGAGCCCGAGATTTTCTTCAGAAAGTATCTAAAAAACCGAAAATCCTTCCAAAGTGTTGTCCAGCTGGGGTGTCATGCAACAAGTTATTTGTTCAACCTGTTGGCTGTTTGCATGATGCGTTACTTATTTTCATATCCTATAGGTTAAAATATGCGTTTAAACAACTTCCTGACCGCATCAGTCAGTTTTTCAGGGCTGCGGTTAGTTTCAGGTTTGAGACTGAGTAACCTGTACTAATCATGGCCGTAGAAATCTCCGTGAAGTTCCAGTCTCTCCTTGAAAGCGTTTGTCGAAGCAGCAACTATGCTAAGTTCCAGTAATGAGTTCTAATTGTTGACAACCCCGCAAAAGAATCTGAGTTC